AAAGATAGTATACCGCAAACAAAAGGTGCAAAGGTTTTGTACACCATATCCGGATTTCGACAATTAATGTCTCTTCAGTGATGTTAGGAATCTAAACGGTATTTGGAAAGCCATACAATTTACCTCAATTTAGAATAGACTCTTGAATTTTAAGGAGTCAAAATAGGATGAACGGATCATATAAACCCGAAGGCAAATATGAAAATATACACATAAAATATGCAAATATGAAAATATATACACATTAAATTACTTTAAATATTATTACAGGATTATATTGTAGACAGATGACCAGAGAACCCATCTAAAGCTTAAGAATGTTCTCTTTTGACATTAGCAATTATAATTACTTTAAGTATTATTACAGGATTATATTGTAGACAGTTGACAAGAAAACCTATCTTAAGCCTAATCATGAATTTAAAACACACATCACGTATTAAATGTGCAATCATCTGCAGACAGACTGAAGGGTGCCTTGGACTCGGATTAGCAACTGAAAATACATGTTCCCTTTTCAAAGCAAGCCAACAGGTGGACATAGTTAACATTGATGTCGAGTACTATGAAAGATGTTGAGCTTTGTTTCTTTATAGGCAAGATGATTCAGCAATAATAAACTTTTTTCAACTTTTGAACTGTATAAAACTGATTGTGTGAAAGGAGGCAATGCCTCTGCAGCTAGATTATTCAACAAAAATGCACTTTGATATCCACAAATATTCCCCTGCAATGCTAGAAAGTGACAAACCTGCTCCAAATTATCTCCTAAAAATACTGTTTGATCATCAGTGAATGGAAGAGCTTTTTCTCATTTCTTTTCCAATGACATTACTTCGAAAACCCAAATATCTTGTAACATAAACTAAACCGAAATGTAGTATTCAATATGTAGAGGAAATTGGGGTGAGCTTTTCAAACGAACACAAGGACGTCTATAGCCCTTCTCCAAACCTAAACAATCAAAAGTTTGATTAAGTAACATTAAGAACACACAAACACACTATTGAATTATAAAACTCCAACCACTTATAACCGTCAAGAAGCAATCAGGACAATCATATAAACATTTTGAAGATTCCCGTAAAGTAGTTGATTCTCTTACTCATAATATTTGCCCTAAAAATCTGAACAAAATCTAATTGCAATGATGTTGTGGAAATTTGATGAACACATATGTTAGAATGTCCAATTGTTTCATCCCCTCGATCATTTTACCTACGCCATCACGAGTTGGTTGACCGTTATGGAATATCAGTTTCACAAATGACGATGAATATGTTCCAATTGTCGTAACTACAATAACGGCCTTTTTCCTCAAATGTGACCTATCGAATAAGACTTATCACAGGGTTTGTTTTTACATGAGCAACAAGACGGGTGTCACACGTCCTACAAGATATGGAGACCATGTCCTTTCAAACAATTTCCAACGCAGAAAAATTTAAAGAAGTAATGTAGTGTTGTTTCAAAACCGAATTTAAAATGTCGGGATTATAGTAGACACACACTTTTTCCTTTAAAATTATACAAAAGGATAGTTATGAAACATAAAAAATAAAAGCTACAGACATTTTATTTATGACCACGACGTGTATACATGTACCAACGAAATAAGCAACTATACTATATAGCTATTTGTTAAGTGTAAATCAATGTTACGATAACGCACAATATTTTAATAAATAAATCATTTTGAAACCAACCAAAACACATTTGTGCAAAAAAGTTATCATAACAGAATCGATTTGATAGATAAAAACTTGCTACATAACGTAAGTTATTTCATAAGATTTTAAATATTTTGGCCCCAAATTTTCAAAATAAGGTTTTTAGCAAGATCATTTCAGAATTCAAACAAATTTGTCGAAAAAATTTCATGTAAATGTTTGAATATTACATGGTTGCTGTTAAGAAACAAAGTATTGAAATAATACACTTAATTGTAGAGCTGGGATCATATTGTCGAACGTTTAACGGACGATGTATGACTTTGGTTTATACATTTACAGATATTCTATGTCTTATATAACCAAAGATATGCACCATTTGTTGTTTCAATAATTCCGTTGTAATTCCGCCGTTTTACATCCCGTTTTAATTCAAATGCGGATTTTCAATCTGTAGCTACTATGAAGTGTTTTGTCGACTGTAGTTTTTTTTATCAGGATCGAAGATGCTACTACACGACATTGCAACGTTTGTATGCATTTATATGTAGCAACAGTACGGAGTATATATTTCCCAGTTGATTCGATATTCCAGGGCTTGTATTTCCTATCCTGATTTCTTTGATAGAACGCTTCTAAACCAAGAGTTCCAAGTAACGAAGTTGAAATCATCCCTTCGTAAATTTTACCGACGCCATCACGATTTGGTTGACGGTTATGTATTTTCTATTTCACAGATGACGACGGATATGTCCCAATTGTCGTAACTACAATCCCGTCCCCTTTTCCCGAATTTAACCTACCGAATAAGACTAATACCGGGTTTGTACTAACATGAGCAGCACGACGGGTCCCACGTGTAAAATATACGTTGGTCATACTTTCTTATAAAACAAAGCAGGACCAATTCTTTCAATTTCCTTCTCAAATGACTTTCTCGTAGATTCTCTTTTCCTCATCTCAAGTGTTTCAGATCTGATCAGACTTAGTTTTTACTTTAAAATTGGACGTAAGATAACTCGATAAGTACAAGTTTACATGTGGACTATACATAAATTGTATCCTATTTGTACAACAGAGATAGAAGATACAAAGTGGACATGTAAATCCCAAAAATTGAAGAAAAATCTTACTTCACCATGACAAAATAAACAAATAAAAATGAACAACAAAACATCTCATAGAAAACTAAAGATTGAGCAACACGAACCTTACAAAAAAACGGGGTTAAACCATCTTAAAAGAGGGTTGTTGCTAGCAAGTAAGCTATTCGTTCAAGAGTTCCAAGTGGTGACATTGAAATCATCCCTTCAAATTCAAAAAATTTACTGACGCCATCACGAGTTGATTGACCGTTAAGTTATATCTATTTCGCAGATGACAAATATTAATCGTCGTAAACACAATCCTGTCGTCTTTTTCCCCGAATGTGACATACCGAATTAGATTTATCACCGGTTTTGTACTTAAATGAGCAACATGACAGTCGCCACATGTGACACATGTTGAGCAGGATCTGCCTACCCTACCGGATCACCTAAGGTTTAAGGTTAGGTTTGTGTGGAACGCCACAGCTGTCGTATGTGGTATCTGATATTAAGTTATGTCGTTTAATTATTACTTGATGACATTTGTTTTTCCACTAACTATGGTTTTGACATTACTTAATGATGTTTTGATATTACTAAGAATGGTTTTGTCATGACTTATTATGGTTTTGTCATTACTCATTATGGTTTTGTCATTAATTAATATGGTTTTGTCATAGCTCGATGTGGTTTCACCATTATGCAATGTGGTTGTGTCATTATGCAATGTGGTTGTGTCATTATGCAATGTGGTTGTGTCATTAGGCAATGTGGTTTTAACATTACTTGATGTGTATGTGGGTTAACGTAATGTAGTTGTTTCATTACATGATGTGGTTTTGTTATTTGACTCTAATATTACACGATGATGTTTTAAAATTTGATGTGTTCGTTCCAGTTTTAGATGTGATTCTGTCATTCTTTGATGTGGTTATCACATTACTTGATGAGGTAAAACCACTGGAACATTTTGGAAAAAAAGTTCTATTTTTAAACCGATTTCAATGTGACCTTTGTTCAGTGTGCTTCGGATGAGTATCGCTATCAATTTTCAGTTAAAATTAAAGTTCGACTTGTTGTTCAGAGTTATTTGGTATGAAAAAGGGGAAATGCGGACAAAACTAAGAAAAAAAGTATTAAAAAGAAATAACAATATTTCGAACATAAGGGGGATATCCCTAACCACATTGTCCGACCGTTTTTTTTCATAGCTTTCAAATGGAAGCAGTATCATAATACTTTCGTGAAGTATTCTATTTCTACTTAGATTTCTATAATGTGTTTTGAAAACTGTAACATTGTTGACTTTGTTTTCTTTTTCATGCAATGTTTTATAGATGCATTTCTTGTGATGTACAAAACCAATGATATTTAGCACAAAAATCTGCATATCAATGACCATGTATTGTAAATATTACATTTGTATGTGTAAATGAGTGATAAAAGTGTGTATGAATATGATTACAAGAACATATAATGCTTTTATGGTGTATAATCTTGTATTTATTTTCATGATATGAAATAATGAAGTCGATATCTGATTTAACTTTCTGATTATTTTATATTAAAATTTTTATTTTAATGGGAAATACAAAAGCTACAAAAAAGACTTTCCAATGACATTTTTAAACACAGTATAATAACTTAAGCAAACCAGAGCATGAGTTTACAGGGAAATAAATACAAGTTTTGCACATTTTTTTGATATACACAAAGGATTGTTTTTCTAGTCCATAATGTTGAATTTATGTAAAAGTAAGTGCTGAAAGCAAGTAGTTTTATTGTATATTATTGTAGTCAATAACAGGATTTTATAAGCTAATTTTTATTCAACCAAATTTATTTTGGTATGTGTCTATTGCCCCAGTGATGTTGGCTGGTCAAGCATGGCATCCATCATTTTTATTAATTTTTCAGAAGTCATGATAAAATGTTTAAATTAATGCAGTTGAGTATAAATTGTATTGAAATTTTATTTAATTGATGTGATAAGAAATTTCATATCTGCTTGAAAAGAGGACCTTGTTAGTTCTATTACACTTTGTTTTTATTCACATAATTACACAAGGTAGGTTTTAAAAAAAAAAAAATTTTTGGCATTAGTTTTATATCTACCCAATTTCATCCATTCAAAACTGACTTATACTTTTTTTTTGCAACATCCCAGTTCTTGTAATAATTCAAAATTCATTACCAGTTATTGGTTAATTATCTGCAATAATATTGGTCCAGAATATGAAACTTTAGGTGAATTTCAAAATATGCTCAGAAAAAAAAAACAAATTCACAAAAGGTCAGTCCAGCTTAACTATTCATGATATCATGTTACTGTTAGGCTTCTGTCCATCACATTTAAATATTGGATAATGTGACATTGTAGTGTAAGTATATGTTTTTAGAATAATGCTTTTCAAAGGGGTTACAATCTGCTCTGTCACCCTCTCAAATATATGTTATTTAATTTATTATACTGAATGTTCTGTTATTACTGTCTATTAAATTTCAAATTTAAAGTAATAAACTATGTCATCTTATACATAACAATCATCTGTATTTATTAAAGCGCACACTTGAGCAAGCGTCTCCGTGAAGAGTAATAGAGTATTTGCCATGGGATAGAGTAATTGTATCCCTCGTATTAACCAATCAAAATCTGGCATTTTGACATGAAGTATAATAAATTCTATTTATAAAACTAACCATGTAACATGTCAACATATTCACATGGTAATCATATGCTTTATAATGAACCGCCATATTCTAAAGATAAAGCTTACCACGTGACATGTCAGACATGTTACATGATGATCATATGCTTTATATTGAACAAACAAATTCTAAAGATTAAGCTGACCATGTGACGTGTCTGACAGGTTACATGGTAAGCATAAGCTTTAGAATATACTGTCATATTCTAAAGATTAAGCTTAGCTCAACCTCTCACTTGTATGACAGTCGCATAAAATTCCATTATATTGACAACAATGTGTGAACAAAACAAACAGACATAATAAGTAAAAATGTCAAAGAATAGGGGTACAGTAGTCAACATTGTGTTATAATCTTAAACACTATAATAAAAAAACAAATATGTCAACAAAGAAAAACAAAATGGCATATGGCCAATACATAAGCAAAAATGAAAGACAATAATACAAAAAATGACGATAGCACAATAACACAATGGCGGGATGTATAAGTACCGAACCACGACAAGAGGATATTACCAAAAATGGACTAAACAGTAAAGTAAATAATTTACAAAGACAAATCAAAGAACACTATAACACGTAATTAAGATGATAAACAAAGTCAGTATCTAGAATCTATACTTCATCGTGTATTATTTGTGAAGTTGATACGGAATATTTATCAACAAGGTCTTGGTATCTTCCGATGAACTTTTTTAGAAAAATGACGAGACGTTCTTTGACATAACCATGGTTCATCAACTTTCTGCTCAAACACGTTTTATAAAGTCTGAGTACAGCTGCAAGCTCTTGAATACCGAATGAGTTAGGAAATGTAAATCCCATATGCAGGTGAAGATGGTATATTGCTACTAAAGTGATGGAAATTGATTATTTCAAAATCAAAATCGTCTCGTTTGTCATGAATTCTGGTACTGAGATGACCGCTTATGTCAAATTCGAGGTACAAGTCTAAAAATGAGGACGAGGAAGCCGTGTCTGTTGTTTCTTTAATTTCTAGTTCTGGAGGATATATTAATTGAACACAATCAGAAAAGTTTGGATTGCTTATGGAAAGAACATCATCAATATATCTGAATTTGAAATTAAATGAGCTGGCTTCTTTGATCTTCTTGTTTTTGACAAGTGTCTGAAGGAACTCCGACTCATATGAAAATAAGAAGAGGCCGACAAGGAGAGGCGCGCACAGATCGTTTCCATTCGATGCCAAAAATTTGTTGAAAAAGTCTACCTCCAAAACAACAAATATGTTGTCAATTAGAAACTCCAGCATACTGATCACTCGGTCCTCTGTGTAGCATGTTTGACCTTTTTGTTCACTATTAACAAAATATGCCGTATGATATTCCAAAGTAATAAATTTATAGCGTATGCTACCATTTTTATATCAAAAAGCATTGTGGATTATTTCTTTTAGACGATTTTTCAATTTCACATGGGGAATGAAGGTATACAGGGTCGAAAAATCAAAAGTTTTGATAGAATTATTTTCAGAGAAAGATCGAGATTTTAAATTATCCAGAATTTTTTAGAGGTTTTTAGAATCCACATATGGTTAATACCACTACGCGAGTAAACAGTTTCACAGAAATTCTGAAGACCCTCTTTCATTGCGGACAGAATTTTTGTCAATCTAACTGACATTTCCTTTGTAGAACATGCAGATGAGACGTCAATGTACCGTTGTTTGTACGGAATTTTGTGAGACTTAGGTATCCAATACAAACAAGGTTAGCCCTCAGATTTGCTGTTCAATGTCATGTTCATTGAAGCCATGAAGGACTTATGATTCGCCAAAATCTCATCCTTGTCAAATGATATGTTTTTGTATGTTTTACCTGAGTGCTCATTTATAACAAACCTTTCTAAAATTTTCCGTTTATAAATTTCGAAATTATAAAGACACTTAGGTTTCAACTCCCTCAGGCAAAGTTGACCTAAGATGAATTTGGTTATTTTTTTAGGTATTTTTTTTTAATAAAAGCTCTTCAACTGTTTCGGTGCTTATACATCCTCGGATTTCAAATGTTTGGCTTTGAGCGTTTCTGACGAAGGTAAATCCAGAAAAAACGCTTCGGACGCATGAAATTATTAAACGTTGTTTTCAATTTTTTATTCCTAATTCTTTTACAAGACACTCGTAGTAGTACGATTTACGTACAAAGACAACATTATTTGAAGCTTTGTCTGCAGGAACAACAACATATTTATCGTGAAGAGATGATAGACATTTCACAGCGTTTTTGTCTCTGGAAAAGGACTCTGGTCGATCATCCACACAGTTTTTCAACTTATGAATTCGACTTTTTATCAGATACCTGATTGTTTTGACTCCTTCTGACAAAGTGTCCATTTCAACTTCTTCTCGTTTTGCCCATGATCTGGCGTAGTCCTCAATCAAATCCATAATTATTTTGAAGTTATGGTTCCAATTGATGTGTTGGGGTTCTCTGAACTTTGGACCATGAGATATCACCTTTCGGAGATGTTCATGTTGAATTATGTTTAGATCCTCAGTAATAACATGGCCAGAGGGGTTGAAATATATAAGGCGAGTGGGAACAGTCACATGACAGAGGTTTTTTTTTTAGATATTCTTCTAAATTCATGTCCTGCAATGCTTTTTTATAGAATCAACATTTTCTAATGATTAAGCTTACCACGTCAAACATGTTTTACATGGTATTTATAAAGCTTTGTAATGAACCGACTTATTCATAAGATTAAGCTCAAGCCGAAAATTAACCAACATATCGATAACTATTGACTAATGTTCACAAACCACCTCTTGATTCTCTGGTCTTGATTATCGTGTGTGTCATTATTGTTGTTTTTCTGGGATAATACCTTCAATTGGGAGGTTTATCTAGCTATAAAAACAAGTTTAACCCACCATTTTCTTTGAAAATTGCTTGTTCTAAGTCAGGAATATAACAGTTGTTTTTCTCTTGTTCCGTTGATTTATAGCGTTTGATTTTGTCAGTTTTTATGTACTTCCCCTTTTTGAATTTGCCTTGGAGTTCGGTATTTTTGTTATACTTTTTTATCGGATGCAAGTGCTACAAACCAGTCTAAGTTTAAATGTGCAATATTTGTTCCCGCGGCCGGCTGCACTGATTTTTCCTTCGACTCGGTCCTCTGTGTAGCATGTTTGACCTTTTTGTTCACTATTAACAAAATATGCCGTATGATATTCCAAAGTAATAAATTTATAGCGTAAAAGAGAAAGGATTGTAGTTACAACAAATGGAGCACATCTGTCGTCATCTGTGAAAAAGATATTCCATAACGGTCAACCAACTCGTGATGCGTCCGTAAAACTTTCAAAGGAATGATTTCAACTTCATCGATATCACTTGTAACTTTTGGTTCAATAGATTCCTTGAGAGCAGCAACCCTTTATCAAGGAAATCACGGTAGGAAATGCAACTTATGGAATATCGTATCAACTGGGAGACTACAAACTGGTGCTGCTGGAATGTTGCTATACCAAAACTGCAAATTCACAATTTGGAAGCTGAAAATATCTCTATTGTCGTGAAATTGTGTTCTTAACGGACCCTCACTGTCAATGTCTAGATGTTAGTCAAGATATGAGGCAGACTTAACTGTATCTGTTATATCTTTTATTTCAATTGCAATAGGATATATGCGTTCAACATAGTCACCAAACTTTGAAATATTAAAACAGTTTAAAAAAAATACTGAACCCCAAGGCAAATTCAAAACGGGGAAGTCCATAAAAACTGACAAAGCCAAACATTATCAATCAACGGAACAAGTGAAAAACAACTGCCATGTTCTTGACTTGGTACTGGCGTTTTATTGAGTGAGAGGACACCATCTACTAGTATATAGTAGATCGTGTGCTAGCTTTTATTTCATTCCTCCCAAGAAGCTCACGTAAAGTCAGCCTCATATGATGAAAGAAACAAGAAGGCAAGACAAGGAGCACAATTGGTTCCCAAAGGAATGCCGATAGTTTGTTGAAAAACACGTCCACAAAACGTAACAAATATCTTGATTTCAGTTTCAGAGAATTTTTTGTTTGAATCAGAGTGTTTTTACAGTACAATTTATCCCTCTCTAAGACCAGATACCTCAATCTACGTTGGTGATACTTTTTTAAGAAACAAAACAGGACCAACTCTTTCAATTTGTATTTCAGTTTGGAATGGCGGATACTTGTGCAAAGGGTAGAAAAGTCAAATGAAGATCTCTCTACAAAATATTGACCGAGTCCATATAAGTGGTCTGTAAGAACTACAACAAAACAATGTGAAACATATACCATCAACACAAAATTCCTGGAATAACAAATCTTTCCAAATTTACCATGACCAGAGAAATAACAGAAAAGTATAAAAAAAAATAAAATTCCGGGATTAAACATATAAACACGTGAAAATGATTTTGCATTAACAAACAGTATAAAATTTCAATGACAAACTGTATCTAGTTAGAAAGTTCACCGAACGTAATTCGAGTGGAATTGGCTCAGGGGTGATTTTGGCTTAACATTTACCTTTTTCATATTTTATTGTATTACCATTCGCATCTATTCGTTGTATCAAAATATTAATGTATTTGAAAGTTACCAAAGAAAAAACTAATCAGTGAAAAC